TGTGATGTATTGACCTTTAACCAAATGAGGATACAAGTTTGAAATGGAAGTTTGGAACACTTCCAAAGTTTTTCTTGATCGCATGACTTTCTTTGGTCGATCCGAACAGTTACTCGCTCTTTTTCTTTTGCAATTGCGAGGAATCTGGATGCGACACTCATTCACATGATCAGTTTTTGCTTTTTGATCAGTCGGGCTCCTGGATGTGACTTTTGAGTTTTCTTCATTGATTACATTCTCAATTAAATCTCCACTTGTCACAAGATTCTCGAATTCCTTTGTCGGATTTGCCTGCATTAACTCGAAGAAAGGCGCTGGAAGGGAATCACGAAACATACGTGATATTTCTTCTTCTAATATGGGAGGTTGAACTTGTGCTGCCACTCCTCTCCATCTTAAGGCATATTCTTGAAATCTTTCATTGGTTTTCTTCTTTACTCTTCAAAGATCCATACGTGTTGGAGCTAAGCCTTTAACATACCGATATTGTCCCAAAAATGCGTCAGCTAGATCTACCCATCTCTTGATCTGTTCTTGGGTCAACTGATTGTACCAGACTACTGTTGGGCCAACAAGGCTATCATGGAAAGAGTGAATTAACAGATCATCAGAAATTAAATATCCTTCCATTTTTCTGCAAAATATTCTCAAATAGATTAAGGGACAACTGGTGCCATCATATTTTTCAAAATTTGGCATTTTGAAATCATGGGGAATAACCAAATCTGGAACCAAACTGAGATCTCTTGCTTCTAGTTCTTTGTGGGAAGTATCAACACATTTCATATTTCTGATTGCTTCATCCATCCTCTCGAATCTTTCCTCATATTGTGAATAATGAACAAGGTTATTCTTTGGGTTCAATTGGGATGCCCCAGAGTATGTTATCTTTCTCGACTCTTCAATCTGATAGCATGGTTGTTTTTTATCAATTATCTCTTCTTTATCAGATGCCATACATTGAATAATTTGATTTGATCCATCTAGTACTGAATATGATGTTTCTTTCCTTATATCCTAAGGTAACCCTGTCAATTGTTCTGGCCACTGATCTTGTAGTCCCTCATAAGATTGCTCCATTGTTTTCATGATGATGGTAAAGTAAAATGAATGAATGACCTTGGTTTTACTGTTACAAAACCTTTCATTAATTACTTACATGTTTTTATATTTAATGTATATAACAATACTTTAAATAATAAAAAATGTAATGTAAATGCGAAAATGCATAAATGCTAAAAATAAGAATGCAAACTGTGTAATGTAAAGATGTAAAAAGTAAGAATACAAAATGGAAATGCATAGATACAAAATGTAAATGCATGTATGAAAAGGTGTTACTCAAGAGTGATCATCTTAGAACATATTTCATTGAACACAAAAGCTTCAGTACATCAAACAAAACTTTTACATATAGGGGACAACTTTCAACAAAACTTTACATATAGGGAATAACTTTCTTATTTTCTTCTCTAAAACCAAGTTAGTTTATCAGCTTATGAGCCATATTGCTTGTCTGGACTGCAGCTTCTTCCATGACATTCTGGTGTTCTTTCATCTCTTATGTCAATTCTCGGAGTTGTTAATTTTCCCTTGTGAGATAACCTTTGTGTTCAAAAGTTTTTGGACAAGATCATCATGTATGTTGCAACTCTTTTTCAGTTTGGTGACCCCTGCTATCCACTCTTCTGGGGTGTTTCCTATACCAGCATTTTGAAAGGCTTGATTGACCTTCTGGAAATCTTCATGTATGGTTTCCATTTTGGTGTTCAATTTATCGTTTTCAATCTTCAAATGACGTATTTGAGCTTTAAACCTCAGCAAATCTTTTTCTCTCTGGGCGCCCCTTCTAATATTCTTACATTTGAAGACTTTTGGTATTAATCTAGCAGGACCCTCGGTTACCAAACTAGGTCGATCATTTACCATAAATTGTAAGGTTCCATGATCCAAAAGACTTTGGACTCGACGTTTGAAGGCAAGACAATTCTCGATGGTATGTCCTTGAGCTCCGGCATGATATTCACAATGAACGTTGATGTCATACCAATTTGGATACGGAGGTTGGAACGGTTTTATATAATATGGATCCACTTCTCGTGCTTCAAGTAACTTCTCATACAACTCTTTATATGATATGGGGATAGTATTAAGATGAGAACCACCTTTTTTCTTGGATTGAACCTGAGTTTTAGACGTCGGGAGCAGACTAAACTTTGATGATTTATAATTACATGATTTCTTCTCATCTCTGGGAGCTTTTACAGTGGTCACCATTTCTTTGGTGTCTCCAGACGATTTGTGAATACAAATGATGATTGTCTGCAACTTCTCAAATTGGTTAGGATCAGAAGTCCCTTGCATATCTGAAATTGCAGGATTATCTTCATTTAGTTTTCTCTCTTTCTGTGCAGGAATCTCTTCTCTTTTGGCCAAAACAGCTATCCATCATCTTGGACATCTGCTCTCTTATTTCTCGTATCTCCTTTTGCTCTTCAATGGGCATACGATCTTTGGGTGCATAGCTCTTCTCTATCTTTAGAGTTCCCTCAAGATATCTTTTCTTGGCCGCATCATATTTTTTATTTGATCACAGAACTTTTTGTCCATTTATGATTTCTTTCCAATATGATGAACAGTCTTTCAAGTAAACACCTTTTGGTTATGTCATGATCATGTAATGTAAACAAAAGAAATCAATGTGAACAGATTAGAGCAATGTAACATGCATGAAAAAATAAGAAAAAATAGAATAGTTAGTACTAATTAATGGAAAAAAATCTATATATCAAGGTATAAATCTTAACCTCATGCTTTCTAGTTCTATGCTTTGTTTGAAAAAATTAACCTAACCGCATGATTTTTAGTTCGCATGCATTTATTTAGGAAAAAGAAAAGGAAATAAATTAAAGTCTAGAGCTTATTTCTCCTTTGTGTATACCTATGAACAGAGGTTCAGTACTGTCTTAGATTAAGTGAATTTCTAGAGTTTATTAAATGCAGGGTTTTTAGTTCTAGGAGTAAAGGTACTCGAATTGTCCTTGTTGATGCCCCCTTGGGCTGTCAAACCCTCAATCCTAGTCCATTACAGATTTAAGCGGATCGAGTTCAATTCGAGGGGACACATTTCTCTATACCTGACACGGAGAATAAACTCTCACGAAGACATAGAGTATATGAACCCCAAAAGTTACTTGCTAGGTCTGACACGGAGAATAACTTCTCACGAAGACGTCGCTTTCACTCCCACTTAAAAGGGACAAACTCAATTATAGAGCTTTATGTTATGCAATGCAAGTGTTGTGTGTGAGGAGAAATGTTCAAACCTCTAACAGATAAATAAAATAATTAATACCTGAATAAAAAAATATTAATATAAAAATAATAAGTAATAAAAAATTTGAAAGAAAAGAATTAAAAATTAAATAAATGAATTTTTAATTTCTAATTAATAGAGACAATTTATATTTGAATTTTTAGGTATTCGTCCGGGCACGAATTTTTACTTGGCGGGAAAAGTGATGTGAATAAATGGTTTAAAATAATTTGGGAGTCGCCATCGGCCTTTTGGGTCAGGTAGGTCGAATACCTAAAAAATTATCCTTTAAAAGAGTTTTTATGAAAACATCAGTTAAAAGATAAACTGATATGCGTTTAACCAAAAATTCGTTCTTTTTAATAATAAAAATATATTCGTAGTCGGTTACGTTTAGGGAAGGATTAGCACCCCTACAACGTCCAAAATTGGTACTTTATTAATTATAAATTGTCTCTATTATTAGAAATTTAAAAATTCAAATATATATTTAATCTATAATCATATTATTTCAAAATTATAATTATGAAATAAATATTAATTTATATATTTATAAATAAAATATTTATTTAGTTAGAAATATCAGAAAAGAACTTCTAGGTGCCTTAAGACAGCTCTTTTCTTCGATAAAATAAATAAACAATTAATATATAATTTTAAAACAATAGGATATTTATTTATTTAAAAATATCAGAAACTGGACATCCAGTTATTTTAAGACTGCCATTTCTTAATATTGAAAAATAAATAAATATATATTAAAATATGATTATTAAAAGTAATTTATGAAATATAGGATTTTAACGAATAAACAAATATTATTTATTATATATATATATATATATTTATATAAATCATAAAAATAATAATAAAATAATAATAATAATAATAATATTGTAAATAATGATTTAAAATAAAAGGAATTAAAAAAATATAATATTAAAATGTAAAAAGTAATAAGCTTGTAGAATGAATGAAAATATTAAACTTAAGGACTAAATTATAATCTAATAAAATTAAATACTTAATTCATAATTAATTATTTAAAATTACAGGGATTAGACATGCTATTTTACCCATTTATTAATTTAGTGACTAAAATAAAATTATATAAAATTTTAACATCAAATTAAAATAAATTAGAACATAATGTTCAGGATTAAAATATTAATTAACAAAATTACAAGGACTAAATCTATTATTTATCCTAAAATATACTATTTAATACTAATAAGGACTAAAACATAATAAAATAAAATTCGAAGGTCAAATTATAATAAACACAAATAACTGATGGTGACTATTTTGTAAAGATTACAAATATGGAACACCGCGGAAGGGGTTTACCCCTTATGAAATTACAGAAATACCCTCCCCAAAACGGCGTCGTTTGGGAGAGGGTATTTAAACCCAAAATTGGCTGGCCCTATGGGCCATTGTTCTCATTTTCTATTTTGCTTCTCTCTCTTAAAGAGAGAGAAGCTCTCGTTTTCTCTCAACTGAAGAGAAAACCGGCCACCGTTGGTCACTGTTTCCGGCGCCGATCGCCACCACCGGTCGTCGTCTCCGGTGGCCGGAGATTACCAAACTACACCAAATTAAATATCTCAACTCCTAGAGGACAAATCTGGCCTTCTTTTACCCTAAATCCCCTTAGATCGATCTAGATCTAAGTTTTTTTTACCTTCGACTTTCGGCTTTCCGACGACGCAAGGAGGCTCCGATGACTACGATTTCCTCGGTTAGTTTCTCTCCTCTCTTTTCTTTCAATATTTGGCTGCTGTGGGTGGTTGCTTGCTGTTGGTCTTTGTTTATGTTTTTCTCCGGTTCTTCCTCTCTTTTCATTTTTGCAGGTACGATGGCTTTATAGCCATCTCGGTCGCTTGCTCGGACCGGTTAAAGGAATGGAGTTCGGTGAGTCACCAAGCTATGTGGTGACTCACCCCTAGAGCTTGCGACGTGGGCGGCGGGTGTTGAAGCAGCAAAGCTTTTGGAGTCTTCAGCGAGGCGGCGGCGTCGTGGCTGAAGTGGGTTCGAGCATCTGGCAGCTGACCGTCGACAATGGTCTCTGGCAGCTGGAGAGGCGGCTACAGCACTAGGGTTAGAAACCCTAGCTGAAACCCTAAATGTTTAGGGTTTCATTTTAGTCTGGGCCGGTTGATTGGGCCTTCAATTTGGGCCCTTTTATTGGGCTTCTGATGTAATTTGTAATATATATATATATATATATATAATAATAATAAATAATAATAATATTATATTAATAATAATATTTATAATAATAATAATAATTTTAATAATAATAAATGAAAAATTAATGTTTACATCGTGTTTATCAATATTATAGATATAACGGTTATTATTGCGATTATTTTATCAAAGTTACAGATATAACATATGCTGTTACGGTTATTGTAGATATCACGATGGTGACTTTTTTTTAATGAGTTAATTTTTTTAATAAAAAAACATGTTTTTTATTATTAAAATAATGTAATAATAGCGGAATAGCGATCTGCTATTGCCGCGATTGGTCGAGATCCGTTAAATTGTGGTCGCAATCTGCCGCTATTGGTGTGATCCTGCTTCACTCTGTTATTTTCCGCGATAGCAATTTCGGACATCGCCGTGACCGCGATACCGCTATTTGAAACCCTAGAGGTGATGAGAGTTATTTGTGTAAAACAAAATCGAATTAGTTAAGTTTATTTTATAATATAAATTTTATTTTAAAAAAATTGAGTTGAAATGTTTGATTTTGTTTAAATATAATTTTAAAGATTTATAATGTTATTGATTATAATTTAAATAATTTTTATAGTTATATACAATATATATCTTCACATTTTCTATGATATAAATATATTATGTAAAATTGAGATATTCAATTTAAACTACAAAATTAATATATTAATTATTAAAAATTTGAGTTACTCAAATTTTATTTCATAACTTAAATTTTATTTTTAAAAAATCGAATCAAGTCGAATTTTACTCGCGTTTATTAGGGTGGGTCAAGTTTTGTTATGACCAAATTTTGATATGGGCTTTACTTTATTTCTTGTGCCAGTAATTGTGGAATGTCATGGGCCATGGATATATGATGCATACATCCCTGAAATATTGTCTAATGAATGGTACTCCATACTATCAACCACATTGGATTCATAAAGCTGGCCTTCCAAGTCTAATTTATTTTCCAATAAAATTATTTTCATTACGTTTGTTATATAAGTATTACTATTAGGAAAAAAATATTAAATAAATTATTATAAAAGAAACAATAATTAGTATAAATTCAAACTTGAAATTAAAATTTTAAGGTTTAGTATTTGAAAAGTTAGTTTACATGTCTCGATGATTATAGCTGAATATAAATGGTTATTATAAATTTAAATTTTTATATCAAATTTTATAGTATTAAAATTAGACAATGGTACACCCACATAAGTTGGTGAAAGAAATAATTTTTTTTTAAAGTAGAAAAGTTAATTCTTACGAATAGTGAGACTCAAATATGAATACTCAACAATATTAATAATATAATTTAATCGTTTGAGATAAAATTATATTATTTTCAAGTAACAGTTTAACTTTGAAATATATCATATAACAAATTTACATAATAAAATTACCTTAAAAATATATTGATTAATTTATATAAATTATTATTTTTAACCCTATAATAAATATCTAATTAACTTAGGACCTAATTCAATAATTAATTCTGTATTAATAAAGATTATAGAAAAAAAGGATCATTCAAAATTATTATAATCTTTCTCAATACGAGACATCATTTAAAATGGATTCTTCTTAAGACAATATATATTCTTGACTCACAAGATGTTTAAGACATTACTCAAAATAATTATGATTCTTCTTAAAACGAAATATAAACAAAAAAAATTGATTATTTTAGACATTGTTTACGTCGATTGATATTGGATGAATCACTTGAAAAATAAAAATGTAAACAAAAACTATAAAGAGTTTGGACATAGAGTTTAAATTGATCAATGATTATATTTCTGTGAAACCTTGCTTAAAGAGATGTCTACTATAATATTCTTAGTACAATAGACATTAATTCGCAATCTAACTACACGCGTTGGTTGTATGTGTTCTCTCATACATCAGTTCAAATTACGTATTACAAAGATCTATGATGAATGTGATCCTTCCAATCCAATTACTCTATTCACAATATCATAATTCAAAATCTTGATATTGTTTAAAAAAATATAATATCATATCCCACTAGATTAACTGATTATCGGTGATTTCCTTAAATTTTAAGACAAAATTTGTACGAGACAACAAAGGGTTTGCACGAAAGGGGCTAAGTTCATTGAAATTGCAACGAATCCAATCTGCTTCTTCACCAAACAACATATCCATAATAATAGATTTGTATGTAATAGATTGCAGTGATTGTGGGATGTTGGGTTTTGTAGTTGTAGACGGAAGAGAAGCTTGTCTTTACTGCTGTCGTGACTTTGGTTTCTGCCTTTTACCTGTTCTTCTTTCCCTCGTCCACTCTTAAACAAAATGCAAAGCGAATGCCATAAACCCCTAAACAATTGAACTCTCACCTTTGTGAGTTGAAATGATTAAAAAAAAGAATTAAAATGTCTATTCAATTAAATGTTATGAGATTTTTTTATATCATACCTACTGATTATATCTTATCAATGTATTATTAACTTTGAAACTTTTGGCGGAGTTTGTCGGAGTGCAACATTTAAGGCAAAAAAAGGTGGAGATCGACAACGACATCGTCATTGCCACTTAAAAACTCATCGAAATAAAGGTACAACAACAATGATATTTTGTAATATTTTAATTAAAATTTAAGAATTACATTAAATTTTAATTTTTTTATTAACATGTCACATCATCATAACATGGGTCACCGTGTTAGTGATTATTAATGAATAAAGTGAGTCGCAAAATCTTAATAATTGAAAGTTGAATGTAACAAATCAAAAGAAGATTAAACAAATTAAGTGACCTCTACTGCTAGTTTACCCAGAAAACTAATAGCAAATTATTACCGCTATGATTAGCTGAACTGCTGAAGCTGTGAGGCAAAGACATGTTTGCCAAGTTCATATCTGTATTCATTGTCAATAAATCAATAAACAGTGCAGTCTGACATTCAACGAATAATTTGCCAAAACACAGAAAAAATTTATCCTAAATTTATGTATAGACAAGACGTTGTTTACACTTGAAAGCTCTGCCAACAAAGAAAGGTGCCGCATCATGCCCCAAATACATACATATTCTGCTGATGGAGCCTGGAACCCTAACTCTAGACGCACTATTAAGGTGAGACGCACCAGCCTCAACACGACAGGGTATATAGGTCTAGGAGCCATATGAAAGGGCATTAGAAGACACGGAAATGCAACCTCAATTCTAGGGCATAGCCACAAAGTTTTAGGAAAAGGTAAGTGAAGTGTTAATTAAAAAAACTGGCAACGTGACAGTCTAGGTTTTAGCCTATTATCTATGACTTTGCCTAGCTTTTTTGGTGAAATTGGGTACGATGTTAAAATCTTTGGATAGATTCTCTAATGTCCCTATCAAGTTTAATTAGAACAATTTTACCTATAATTATATTTTAATTATGTTTTAGTCATTTATCATTAATAAATTAACTGTGATATTAGTATATAATCATAAAATAACATCAAACTAGCATTGAAAATAAAAAATATATAGTATCAACATCATTGGTGAGTGACCAAATAGATAATTTATCCTAAATTAAATGCATGTATCCCTTCTTATTAGAGAAGAACCAAGTGACAAGTATTGCTTCCCTTTTAACTGTTTATCTTACCTGATTACATCATGTGTGAGGTTGAAAGCCCCCCAAACTCCATGATTATAACCAATATATACACATACATGCATGCATGCATAAACAATACATGCTTTCCATTCCGAGATTCAAGCAAATGCCAAAAACGTGTAAACCTGGAACTGTTCTGTAAATGTAAAAACGTGATCCAACAGTGAACATGCTTTTGCTATTAATTAAATATATTGGATCGTTAAACAACGTCTTCGTCTTAAAAGTAAATCATTGAATATATACACAACACAAAGTTCTAGAAAATGAATGCAAGTTGTATATTACATACCTAAGACGTAGCACTGATTTACGGGATATTATGAAACCCGGTTTTAGGCTATCATGTCATCACAAGTGTAGGTTTCAAACAAAGTTTCGAGTTTCCTGATACATGATTCTGACCTAAGATCATCTCAAAAACTACAGTCGGAATATTAAACAATAATATTTTTTTTTAATAAAAATAAATACAGAATTAAGTAGAAAAATGTGTGGTGGCCAAAGGGCGTCCTCTTATGGAAGTCGTAGGGCATATCGGTTGCAATAAAGGAGAGAAAGGTAGGGAATGGAGTTTGGATATCGCTCTTACAATTAATACCCACGCATGAGACACAACAGTATCCGATGAAGACAACTCCATTCCTATAATTACGTTTTTATATTATTATTATTAGGGTAAATAACTTATTTAGTCACCCAACTATTCATTCGGTTTTGTTTTTTTCAAATCATATATAACGTTACGATTTGGTTTTATTTTGATTAACCGCTATTAAAACATTAACAGAATTACCAACTTAACATTTTTAATTTTTTTCAATAATAATGTAACATTATCTTATGGTGATATATCAATAACACCATCAAATTTTTAACGACAAATTATCAAAATAAAACCAAAACATAACATTAAGTATGATTTAAAAAATAATTGAGTAATCAAAATAGAACTACAAAAATAATTAGATGACTAAATACATAATTTACCCTTATTATTATTAGCATCTCTTATCTCTTTCATCGGATCTCCTCAAAAATTTCATTGCCTCCTATCTCTCTCACTTCTATTATTATTGTTAGATATACGAAAGAAAAGGTGGAACGAGATCAATTATTTATTTATCATGTATAAAAATAAAAAATAATACAAAAAGGCAGGGGTTCAAGACCCTAGTCTGCCCATCCCTTCGTCCGTGAAGATCACATTATTTTTAGTGTTTTTTATACAGTTCTTCAGTTATTTATAATTTCTAAACTTTTTTACTCATTAAACCGAAGATAATTAATTGTTTATACTTAAACAGTCTTCAAAATATTATAATTAGTTGATAACAACACTATAAACCAAGTTAAAATTTGATCTGTTTCAGTACTTGTATCATTTAGCTTAATCTTGTCTTTAAATATTTTTTTATTTTATATTCTCCGTGTTGCAAAACATAAGTATAGAGATATGTTTTTCAATTATTCAAAAAGAGAATATTACTTGGCACAGAGAAACCATTACATTTAATTTGCAAGTATATATGGTCGAATATCCCTATGGCGTGGCGAGAAGCTCAAACTTTTGGTAACCATTGAATCTCATTGGACCACCTTGCCATAGTGACATTACACAGAGCAACAATGCAGTTTCTCAAAATGTCTTATTCAGTCCTGTAAGCAAATAAGCTTGAGTGTGAATGAAGCTAGAGAGGTAGCTGAGCTGGTATGAGTTACGTGAGGTTGTTGAGCAATGTGTGTGTATGAATGCATAGCCTTTTGTTATAAGGTGGTTATAGTGCTGAGCTGTCAGGAGTTAGATAACAAAGTTGTATAAAAAAGTACTAAGCCCTCAATGAATGGCGTGGAATTAATTGACTATACTTGCTGTGTGTTTATTCATTAAGTCAGTAATCCATCAAGTCCTTTGAGAATATCATTTTCAACCCATTGACCCCATCCCCTCCAATTGCACCGCATTAGTTCTCTTTTTCCCACCAGAAAAATATAATAAGATACCCTAAAATAAGGTTTCAATTCAATTTGGAAATTAATTCAATTGATATAATTATTTTTAATAAATAATACTTAATGAAATTAACTTATAAACCCTAACATTAACATGCAATTTTTTTCGTAATTTCGAATAATAATCATTTTCGTAAGGATAATTAAGATTCCTACCAATATATCTGATCAATACAATCATGAATGTATCATTTTAAAAATATAAACTTAAAAATTATATGTAATATTTTTTATATTATATCTGATATTATCGGATATTATTAAAGAATTGTTTTCTGTTGATAAATACCAAAACGAGAGACACTGGTGGAAGAAATAAGAGAGAGAAAGTGGGGTTGCAATTGTTTTTGTTGTGGGCAAATTAAACAATAATTAATGAATAAATAAAGATTTCAGGGAGATGGTGAGAGGGGCCATCTTTTAAGTGATAATGGAAGTACCCTTCATCCTCTGACTTGTTCCCACCAGTACCATATCGACCACCACCATTGTAATAAATACAAATACGATAAATTTAATTCAAAATATAATATAATATATAAAATTAAATAGATGTAATATTTGATAATTTTTTTACTATAAAATATTTAAGAGTCCTATTTTAAAAAATAACACATAATATGTCCATCTTTTGAGACGGACCTGATAATTAAACAAAATCATAACACGTTCAAAACAACAATGAATTTGATACTAAAATATAAATGGTTAAGTTTGATACATGAATATAATCCAAGTTCAATCATGTAAGATATGTCTAAGAATGAATCGAGAAGAGACGGTTAATACATACAATTTTAACTTTTTTTTTTTAATTATCATATATTTTAATTTTTGTTTATTCTTTTAATTATTATTTGATTTTATTCATTCTAAATTTTTTTAAATTTATTGCGTTTAAAATTTGGTATGACCCTAGTATAAGCTGTCTTCCGTAATACCTTGAAACCTCCCACTTGGTACTCCAAATGTACACAGACGCCGGTACAGAACCCCGTTTGAACACGTAAGCAGTTTGATAAGCCATGTCAGTTCAAGAAATGAAATAACGCCACGTGTGATGACTCATGTGGGGTGGGGACGTAACAGATGGCGAGCTCTTCGCCTCCCTCTGCGGGGCCCAAAACCCGAACACAACCACAGACAACACTTTGACGTTGATGAATCATGATCCATTCATTTATTATTTAATGTTTTTTTTTGGATATTTATAATATGGGTGATTAAAATATCATAAATTATACGAATTGCAGTTTTAGATTATATTCAATTATGACATTTAAAATAATTTATTTATAAGTGCTCTACAATATATTTAAGACCGCAATTCATGGATGCAAAAGGATTGAAATGAATAAAGTTTTCAAGTATTGGATCAATTTCAGTTATCTTGAATTAACAAGAGGCTAAATTTATGTTCATTTAAAATCGTAGTAAATTATGTAAAAATCATACAAACACTTATTATATAATAATTTGACTAAAAAACTATAATTCACAAATCATGTTATAATTAAAAAATTAACAAGAGTGTAACTCTTTGGAATGACATGAGTAATGTTTTAGGTTGAAATTGAAAATAATATGTTATTCATAATAAATCATGTAAATTACAGAATTATTTCAGTTGTAATATAAAAAATTGTCATTAAGACATTATCTGTTATTACTGAAATTATTATTAATTACATAACTTTTTAAAGTAAATTTATAATATTTTAGGTTAAATTATGCTATAATATAATATCCTAGTTTGAATCAAAATTATTACCAATTATATATATTTTTAAATAAAAAGTAATAATATTTTATATTAATCGTTATAAATTAACTTTAAATTAAACCACAATACAGTAAAACCATCCTATAATTAGTGTTTAAGATAAAAAGGTAAAGTACACAAATGGTCCCTTGGCTATAGGATATTATTTTGTTGAGTTTCCAAACTATTAAAAGTTACAAAATGATAATCTTACGAGTTTGGAACATAATGAATATTCATACGATCATTTTGTAATTTTTAATAGTTGAATAACTCAACAAAGTAACTTCCTATAGTTGAGGGACCATATTGTAACTATTAATAGTCATAAGACTCAGCAAAAGAGTATTTTATAGTCAAGGGACGATTTGTGTACTTTACACAAGATAAAAATAGTTTTTTTGATAAATATGGGATGAATATAATGTAATATTTGTTCAAATACTTTAAACCCTTCGACGGTGAGTGCTCATACCTCTATATATGCTGTGCTTAAATATGAAATATTAAGAAATAATTATAAATCTATTAATAACTATGGTATCTTAGTTTGTGCCTCGAACAAAAATAGGAGTGTTCATTTTTCGATTTTAACCGTATTATCCGACCGAATGGAATTAATTCGGTTAATTAAGCCGTCACCGAATTAGTTCAGTTGGGAGACGGTTAACATTTTTTTCAATAATCGATTCACGGTCAATTCGGTTCGAAATCGATTAATTAATCGAAATTATTAAATATGAAATATATTAAATACATATTTTAAACTCAAACTCAATAAGAATTCATACTTAATTAATTTTTAACCACACTAAACTCGTTAAATTATCAATATCTAATTAAAATTTCAACCCAAATAAAAAAAACACTTATATTATATTCAAATTAATCTAATTAAAAAATTATTAAAATAAATCGGTTAATTCAATTAACCGAAAAAAATTACATACTTTGTTCGATTTGGTTAATATTAAAAAAAAAATTGGCTTAGTTAATGGTTAAATAATTTTTTTTAATTGATTCGATTAATAAAAATTTGATTAGATCAATTATTGAATTAACAGTTTGAACACCGTTATTAAAAATATTAAAATAGTGTTGTGTCTCTCTTTCTTACTTTATCTTCCTTATGAGGAAAACGGGAAATGAAGCCGTTTTATCCGTGCACCGGACAAGCCAACGTGGTTGTCATGTCGGTGGGCCCTACTACCACGACCTCTGCTTATGGATACAGTTGATGGACCCATTTTTCTATTTCTCCAACCTTTTTTCACTTTACTAATTCAACTTTTTCATCATACTTTTTTTTTCTAATACTTATATCACAAATAAATATTTAAAGTATAATTAAAATAAAATTTAAAATTATATTTTTTTATCAAAATATGTACTTAATATTTTTTTATTAAAATGTATACATAAAATATTTATTTTTGTCTAAATTCTAAAAAATTGATGTGTCATTTTTTAAAAATATTTTAAATACTTAAATGAAAAATATTGAATACTTTAAATATTTATTTTGATCAAAAATAACTCCAAATATTTATTTCAATAAAAAAATAATACAATTTATTTAGTTATAAATTATATAAGCCTTTTTATAGATGTATTAAAAACATTTTAGGAATATATATTTTTATTTTTATAATCTAGTACATTAATATGTACTATAAATACTGTCTCTATAATTGAATCTATATCATGCTTCTTTTAAACACTCTTATTTATATATCATCATACAAATTATATTATATATATATATATATATATATATATATATATATATATATTTAATTCATTATTAAAATAAATATCTTTTAATTAAAATCTAAAAAATATAAATAAGTGGATGCATTTTTTATATTCGTTACGCTTAAATCTAGGAATAGACGTGAAAATGTAATCAAGGATAGAAGTCGGGAGGGATTAATTTCTATATGATAAATAAATGGTTAAAACTCAAATTTTGTTAAATTTCATGGGCTTTAGGCAAATTTGACCAATTAACTATATAATATTATTTTAACTAATTTTAGCAAATAAGGAACTCTGGAAAAAAAGAATCAAGCCGAATCTCTGATGCAGTTGTTATGGCAGCATGATATCTTTGATTATAATAAATTATCGAGGATATTTGGACCATACATTTTCTTTAATGTAATTTTTATAATATTTTTTCTCTATAATCGTGTACATCATAATCTCAAAAAATGTTTCCTCATTCTTCAAAATATTGTTCTATAATTAACGGTATTTTGTTACATGACAGTCTTAAAATAATGTTAATGAAATATCTTATCCAAAATATTAATATTTTTTTTAATATTTTTACGTTAACGCAAAACTTAAAATATTATTTTTTTAACGAAAATGTTAATTTCGTTATCTAATTTTTAATAGAAAAAAATAACATTTTAAGTAGCGTCCAATATTAACTTTTTCGATATGAAAATAATGTTTTAAGTTGTGTTTTACATGAAATGTTAAACACTTTAGGTAGCATACAATATTAATATTTTTGGTATAAAAAATAATGTTTTAAATAACATATTTACGACAATATTTTTTATTTGTATGGAGTAAATATAATATTATTTTAAAATCTTTGATTATTTGTCATTCGAAGTTCAAGTATCTTTATATAATTTTTATTCAAAATTGAGATCTAAAATAACAATAATGATTTTTAATCATTGAGATTATTTAATTCGTACAATATGATACACATTTTAAAATATAAATTTTGTTGTTAATCATATAAACATATAAATATCTATATTTACTTTTAATAATATTTTTTTTATCATTTGATCTTAGTTTTAATAAATAATTTGACTTGTGATTTTTTGTCATTTGTAGCTTGACCATTATTTTGACATTGAGCTGTAATTTGGTCTTCGATTTTTTTTGATGAATCCAATTTAGCCTTTAAATTTTGCTTGGATCTATAATTTGGCTATTAAAATTGGTTTTTATATGAAATTTGATTTCTATTTTTTAATATAAATTTATCTTTAATTAATTTTTTGAATTTACATTAAACTGAAATATAAAATATTAATATTTTAATTATTATTTTAAATTAATACAAAAGCTGGTCTTAGATCAAAGTGTAAATCAAAAATCAAAGTTGTTAAATTGCATAAACAAGGTCAACGGCCAAATTACACTCAGTAAAAGTCATGGGCCAAATTAAACATCATTTAACTTTATCTTTACCCATATTTTAGTCAATAAAGTTTAATATTTTTTAATTTAATCCTTAAATTCAGACTATTTTTTTCTTCATTTTATCGCTAAATAATTAACAAGATTGTTACATGACATATGACATAACAAACAATATCGTTTTTGAAAAAATAAATTACACTAAAACGACATTGTTTTGAATCCTATAAAACCTATTTTTTAAACTTTTTTTACTTCATCATTCTCTTTCGTTTCTTCTTCTTATGCCTTCTTTAATTTATTCTCTCTCTTGCTCATATTTCAACCACCAATAATCATTAATCGCCGTTGACGATGACCGATAGATCTTAAAATATCTTGTTAAACTCGTTAATTCGATGTCTTTTTAACCAAAAATAACCTAATTTTAATGAATCTAATTTAAAATCTTTCATTTTTTTGTTCTCCAATTTTTATTGTCCGCTGTTGAATGAGTCGAAATGAAGATATATTATTCCACACCTGAAGAAAGACTTCTTTATCTTTGAAGTTTTAAAATGCAGGCTTCGATCGTTAAAGATCCAATGATAATTATCTTCTGTCAGTGATAAAATTCAGATAAAACATTTATTAAAACTTCCTCGTAATCAAAACACGCAAAATAATAAATCACTTATCAACTCAAATCAAAAGCATGTTTATCTTTCGTTAACTTTAAAGTTCAAACGGTACCATTTCAAGCTTTGTTATTAGGAACAGAAATTTTAGTTAGCAACAGTATATGCAAAAATCGCTTAACTATAACTTCAATTTCAATGTGTGTATGCATGAATTTAGTGATTAAATTAATTTTTTTGGAAATTCAATGATTAGAATAGAAATGATTGGAAGATTGAATGATAAATTTGTAATTTATATGAGATATGGTAGTTTTTAGAAAGTTTGAGGTTTGATAGCCGTGTGCAGTTTCTCATATATAACCCCTGTCGCTTTATCTCTCCCCTTTTCCTATAAAAACAACCTTTTCTTGTCATGTCATTTCTTCCCCAGATTACCCAAAAATTTCCGCAAAAATATTTATAAAAATAGTAATAATATCACACAAACTTGTATGCTTATGGTTATATGGTACTATCCCTCACAATGAACTCGTGTTCTGCATGAAGTCATATAACAAACCTGCTTGAACTTGTTCATTTACTACAAGTTGTTCTTGTTTTCTTAGTGTTCGAGACATGAATAGAGCATTGCCGGAGATGTTACAAAGTTCCGACATGACGGTGCTCGAGAGACAAAGGGCTCGCTTGAAATGGCAAGCGGAACAGTTTCAGCAGCAAAATTATTTCAGTGAGTTAAGTGGGGTGTTTTCGAGCCAAACCGGCCACGTACAAGGCTTTCAGCAGGGATGTTTGATGAGTAGAGGCGGCGCTCGTGGTGATTCAGTGTTATCCGACATGGCGATGACTCGGCAACTGAAGCACGAACCTGGTTTGGAGACCGCCTGGCAGGGGTTGGGGAAGGTTGACATGGAGTTCGCCCCATGTGGGTACGGTAGTGGACCGAGTTTTGATATGAATCACGCCATTTCTAGGACCTCAAGCTGCCCGCCAGCTGTGGCGGCGGCGGCGGCTGTGGGTTCCAAAGCGGTGAAGGGGAACTCATTGAAGATGGGCTCAACTGTTGGAAGAGTAAGCTTCAAGAAAAGGAAAGTTGAGAAGTCACAAAACACAGAGGTGCGTGTGTTGTTGAATTCCTTCATTTATCACAATATTATTAAGTAGCCATTAAAATGGAGTTTCCCTTTGGATTATATTTCCAGGTTGTTGCAGAAGATGAGTCCAAGAGGATCAAAGCCAGTGAAGAAGAAAGAGAGTCGAAAATTACAGGGTCAAGCACCCACAGAAACAGTACCGACAAGAAGGAAAATTCCGGTGATACTTCCAAGCTTGATTACATTCACGTCCGGGCTCGCCGCGGCCAAGCCACCGATAGCCACAGTTTAGCAGAGAGAGTAAGTGAAATTTGTATGTTCTTTTTTCATTGCTGTTCCTGGTCTCAATCATTAGATAATAGTGTTTTAATTATGATAATTATATAGGTTAGAAGGGAGAAAATCAGTGAAAGAATGAAATATCTGCAAGATTTAGTTCCTGGATGTAACAAAATCACAGGCAAAGCTGGAATGCTTGATGAAATCATCAATTATGTTCAATCTCTTCAACGGCAAGTAGAGGTAAAAGAAAAAACAACAGTAAAAGAACATATGGAATTGAATATATATATATATATATCCATGGACATTCATGAACTATCTGGCTAATTTTGGTGCTTTTATGTTCAAAATCTGCAGTTTTTGTCTATGAAACTAGCTACTGTAAATCCCAGCCTCGACTTCAACATCGAAAACCTTTATGTCAAAGAGGTGCTTCCCTCTTGTACCACTAATTTTCCACCGGTTGGGATGGCACCAGAAATGGAAAACCACTCTCCTTATCTTCAGTTCAATCCAATACAACAAGTGGTCTCTGGTTGTGGAATGGAAATGGGAACGAACTCTTGTGATATGGCGCTTCGGAGAACTATTAGCGCCCCGGTATCAATCCCTGAGGCATCGTTTCTAGACACGTCCTGTTTCACTGATATGCAGCAAATTCAACCCTCTGCAGCATGGGATGTTGAATTGCAGAATCTTTACAATGTGGAATTTCCAGGTACCTCCTAAATCTAAACACGCCTTCGTTTAATGGCATCAAGGCCGAAAAATGGGTTATAGCTAATGCTGATAGATTGAACTAACGACCATTCTGATCTGTGTGATGTGATTTATGCAGGTTCCATTGAAGCAAGTGGCCTAAAGATGGAGATGGAGATGGAGATGTGAGATCAGAATATTAGTTGACGATTAATGACTGAGATAATTCAAGATGCCTTTGATTTTGATTCTTTTTTTGCTTGAGTAGGTACATATGGTATATATAATATATATTTTCATGTATACTCTGAAATGATATGAATAAGATTAATACTAATTAACTTAAAAGTTTTCTCTTGTTCAAGTTCTATGCTGATTGAGACTGATAATTAGTGCATAACTGCCAATAATAAGGAACAAGGAGCAAAATTTGCATTTACACAGGCACAGGGTTGTCAGAGATCGGACAATCATCCGGTTTTTGGTTAAACCGAATGATTGTCCTGTTTTTACATCCAAGTAGTGCTGGTTGTTACAGAAAGGGGTGGGACCTGGCTTCATCCGCAGGCAAGATCTCTTTGATTCTCTTTGTCAAGTGTTGATTGTGAAAGATGATGTTGCCTTTTCCTTTCGTGGGTCCATTATTTTTTTTCTTTGTAATTTCCCCCCTCTCCTCTCATCTACTTTCACATACTGCAATTCAAAGGAATATCCTTTCAACTCTACCCAATGTTTATATATATCATTCTCTACTTTTTCCTTTTGGGTAAATTATACTTGGATTTAGTTACTAAAGCAAGGTAACCAATTAAGTTCACTTTTCTAATTACTCAATACTAGAAGTTTGATTTATTCATCCATTAATTAAATATCTAATAACTTGAGTACTAAAACTAAAAGTATTATGCTTTTTATGTTAATTTTGTGAGGGTAAAATATAAAATTAGCCCTCCTATTACAAGATGCTGTAATCTACTTTGTATTAAAAGTACAAAATGAACTCTCATCTATAAAATGTTATTTTATTGAGTCTCAAACTATTAAAAGTTAAAAAATGATCACCTGATAAAATTATATTTTAATGATGTATATTAATAACACCATTGCTTTTAAACATTAGCGCAACAAAATAATATTTCAAGCACTAACTAAATTATATATTAAAAAAAGAGTATTTCCACAAAATATAACTTAAACGATTATGAGATCAGATTAAATCATATCTCAAAAACCACCAAATTTTGAAGAAAAATTAATAAATTTAAAATGTACGAATAGTTAAACAACTTTATAACTTTAATAGTTAAGGTATTTAATAATACAACACTCTATAATTAAATATATCATTTTATAACTTTTAATAATTAAACTTAATAAAACAACAACTTATAATCATAATTATTTATGTACTTTACTCATATTATAATTAAGGTTATAAATCATAATTATTTATGTACTTTACTCATATTATAATTAAGGTTATAAATATATTTTTAATGTTTTATATTTAAGATTATAATTAATACATTATTATATCTTAATAATCATTCTCGGAGTGTATTGTTCTCCTTAAAATTACCAAATCATAAGAAAACCATCCTAAAAAATCCAAAAAATCAAAATCAGCCAATCCAATTTACCTAAATTATTAGGCTTTTGGCGTAGCCGGAAACCATGAAACCCATCGTAGGAATCTAAATAGCAGCTTTAATCAAATCAGATCTGACAATATTTTTTTATGAAAATATATATATTTCAAGAAAAGAGAATAAAATTAAGGAAAAATGGAAAGAGAAGAAGCTCAGAAGTCGTTATGAATGGATGAAGAAGTTCATCCTCATGTTACGAATCAGATTAACGAGATTGAATTTTCTATAATCATCATCGCACCTTCTCTTTCTGTATTAAACCCTAAAACACTGACAAAGCACAAAACATATAAATAGGTACGTGAAATTTAGCATAAGAAAGAAGAAGAGATTTGATTTGGAGTCGATCCCAAACGCCCGATTAGGGTTTTGGAGCTTGGGGTTAATTTATAGGCAGTCTACAATCGAGTCAGATTATGAAAATGACGGCAATCTTATTTAGGGTTTTTGCTGGGTTCTGAACACTATAAGTTTGCCCAAAATGTATAAGTATATTGGGCTCTATTAGTTGGCCCAAAATTGAAGCTCAACGATATCATGCATCACGAATCAATTTTAAATTAGATCATTAAATTTAATTTTTATAAAGATTATAATTAATAATTTAATTTTACTGATACTTTTAAGTGACTGCCAATCCTTCCTCAGCTACCATTGTCCAATGACACTGCTTTTGCATTGAGCTACAATGCCAAACTTAGAAGCCTCAACTCTCCATTATACCCAGCAAATGTGCCTCTTGAAGTGGACACACATCTTTTGTACACAAATGGATCACTAATTAACCAATGTGCACTTGCTTGAATGGAACACAACTCCTCACTTCTTTGAACAACATTACCTTCGTCATGCCACAAATTGGCCTCCTTCAAGCTCATTTTTTTCAACATCAAGGAAGTACTTACCACGGATTTCCCCGAATGCCCCCCCGAAACCTTTCAATTACACTGGCGCACCCTTGACTGCCAATCTTGGTACTACTTTAGGCACCAGGCTAAGCAAGATTGCTTTCAACTCAACGGTGTAGTTAGTACAAAAGATGTCAATCTTCTGATTGTTGAATCCCATCCATTCCACCTTCATGGCTACAATTTCTTCGTTGTGGGGACTGGAATCAGGAACTTCAAACAGGCCAAAGGTCCTGCGAAATATAACTTGGTCGATCCTCCCAAAAGGAACATGGATGGAATACCGACAGGAGGTTGGACGGCCATAAGGTTCAGGGCTGATAATCCAGGTACACATCCACCAGAAACTATACATAAACATTGTTTCCACGTGAAAACTAGTTGTAATTAAGCGAAATATTTTGGGTGGTTTCAGGAGTATGGTTCAAGCACTGTCATTTGGAGGTTCATACAGGTTGGGGATTGAAGAACATTTGTGGTAGAGAATGGAGAAGGACCCAATCAATCCATTTTGCCTCCAATGTTAGTTGCTTCCTGTACAGTGTGGCACCATATACTGCAAAGGGAATCCATGGCTTCTTATAATGACTTCATCCCGCATAGAGCAGGAGCTAAATTGGAGGATTGCTTTCCATACATACCAAGACAAATAATAAAGTTGTATGAGATTCTTGTAAAACAACGGCAACCTAGCCTTGAAGATATCATGACATAAACAGCTGAACCCGAATTACGCTGGTATGCTTTATGTTTTCCAACATGCAAAGTTCGAATAGAGAGAGAAAAATCCACAAGAGTTGAATCCTAGATTTGGTGCCTCGTCAAAGTACTTAATGTTCGCAAATGATATTGTTGACATTCGTATGAATAAACATATTCAAAAACATTTTTGGATAGGTAATATTTTCGTCATTTGACTACCCAACCTAACCTTTACAAACAAAAGCAACTTAACACACATTAATTCATTTAATAGAAATCGAGAGGAAATCAGAACATTAAAAACTTGAAAAGTTGGCAGAAATTCCCAACTCATCGTCTCCCCAAAAGTACAAATGGCCATGGAAAAGATTCAAACTGTGTTGGGGTTGAAAATGATGATGACCAAAAGATATGTGATACAATAATTTAGTAAAAGTAAAAATCACCCATAGGTATGCATCCAAGGAAATAAAAGAATACATTTTCAAAAGAAGAGAGGAAAGCTGAATTAAGCTCCTGAGTGCGAGACTGGTGTAGTTTCAAACTGACCATCCTTAAATACATGGATATACTGTTGCGGCAAAGAATGCTCCCCCTAACACCAAAAAATAACAATGTAAGCCATTCACAGTAAACAAAAATAAACCAACACTATTCTCCATTGTCTAATAGATCAATCCACCACAATTACAGAACCAAAAAAAATCATTTATAGGTGCTTTCAGATTTCTTCCTATGATGCCCGGCCGGCACAAATGGAGGTAAGTTACGGCATTAATGTACTCTAGATTATTTAAAACAAAGGTCTGGTTAAAAATTTGGTCGAGAAGTCCCGGTCCTTGAAAGTTTGAGATATAGTCAATGTAGTTAAAAAGTTAATAATTCAACCCTTTACTTTTCTAATCGTTGAAACTGTTATTTTCTGGCAAAATTTGTAAACACCTACAAAAATCATACCAACTTCAGAATCAACTCATTATGAATTCAATTAAGCACACTTTGACAGAAAACACTGTGTCATCGATTGGACTAGAATTTTTATCCTTTTAGGTATAGTAAGCAAATTTTGATGGAAAAACCAACTGTATCAACGATTGGACTTGAAAATGTAAAGAGGATTTAATTTTTAACTTTTTAATTACAAAGACTAAATCTCAATATTTGAAGTATGGGGACTGGCAGCATATTTTGACTAAATTCAAACGCAGATACCTGTTTTAAACTGATAGATTAGAGAACCACGTCACAAAGCATATTCTTTTTACTCTCTTATATTCTCTAGGGTGTGTGATCATAACAATAAAGTAAGGAATGACAAGCAACCATCTAAACTAAAAGGACAATCTCAAAATAAAACCAAGAAAAGCAGGACATCTTCTTTTTGATGTACAATGCCAGCTAACCCATTGTTATGGAGACTTCAACTACATAATTAAATTGTAATTACCGGTTTCCATTCCTAGTACTAGTCTTCTATGTCCAGAATAAACTTTTAGTGGCACACGAATAACTGCAGTTAACACAAATATGGTAACTAATGGAAAACAATGTCACTATTCTATGAGCAAAAGAAAAAAGCATCCCAAACAGGAGGAAGGATAATTTAGGTCATCAAGAAAGCTTTCAGAAATGCAGGAAAAACTAGTCAACTTACCCAATCGCCATCAGGTAGTAGGCACTAATACATTGATCTCACTCGACTTTGCTGTTGTTATAGATGCCCCCAAAGAATCTTTGCTCAAGTACAACAGCCACAGTGTAGATGATGATAAGTAATACAACTATCAATCAGTAGTAACAAGTAGAAACAATACTGATCAAAGAGAGTGGAACAAAAGACCTTCACATGCCATACAACATGATACCATCGCCAGTATTCTCTTTGAAGGTATCTATGCCAGGAGGAGAAAGAAGAAGAAAGATACCTGACATTGCACCTCAACACCATTGCAGTTTACTATCTCACAAGCAGCCACAACGTCCTGCCCATTTTAAGTCAAAGACATAAATGAGTACATGATTTGCTTAGCAAAATTTCTATGGTAAAAGGTCTTCGCCCTGCTAACCTTAAATACCACTCCCATCTTAGTGCACTTGTCAATTGTTATATTGTTGACTTTCCCTGCACAATATCAAAGAACCACTGAGTTGCTTTTAACTTTTCTGTAGTTATCTCTTTCAAATAAAAAGGAGATTCACAGTGTCAAAGTAAACAATTACACATATAAAGAAAGCACAATGAAGAGGGAAAAAAGAATCGTGCATATGATATAATAGTTTTACCCTGAATCTGCAAAACAGAATCCTTGCATCCATAAATATACACAGACTGTTTGGCATCGCAGTCATCAATTACTAAGTTCTTTCTTTCAATTACGAGGAAGAGACACTTAAAAAGTCAAATACCGATACCAACCACCTAAATAAAGTTAAAAAGCAAACTGAAATCATCCACACTTACTTACGACCCATTTGCAGCTCTAGTTTCGGTGGTCCCGCTTTTGAGAAAGAAGAGGAGCTGGAACGTGTTTCCTTCTCACTGGCACTAATAACACCTGTTCTATCCGTACGGTTCTTTGTCTTCATATCAGCAGTAACCTTCTTCAGGCCTAGACATAAGGAGAATGAGATCATAGTCACTCGATATCGATAGAAAAGCAGAAGAGAGGAAAGATGATTACCTGAAGAGACATTCCCACTACTAATTTCTTGGAAACAGCTGACATCCCTTGTTTTGGCTGTGATGAAGAAGGTTGAGAAGGTTCGGAGCTGAAAAGAGAAGCAGGTGGAGGAGGAGGAGGTGCAGGAGCACCAGAGGGTGGAGCTTTCGGCGGAGCACTAGATGCCCTTTTACCAGAAGCACTCCATACCGGGCCAAGAGGATAATGACTTCTGACATAATCCCTCAGACCTGGTAAATACAATTCCTTCAAAGCTTTGGCCCACTCAACATGGTTCTGATCTTTGTTTCTGTAATCTACAAGAACCTGATATTTACAACACATTAACATATAACAGTTTCTAGATTGAGTTGTGAAAAAACATTACCAAGAATGATAGCAAGTGGCAATAGATCATATGCAATTGCCATATAATTTTTTGAAAAAGGGGCTAAAGTCTTGAGCATGACAAGCACGAGTGGAGGTCACAATATTTCCCAAAGTCTGATTAGTTGAAAGCGTGAGCCCAATTAAAGCTTTGAACAAAGGCAGGAATGTAGTCCACATATACAACTAGTGTAAATCAGACTCCGGATTTTTTCAACATAAGTAAGGAGTTATGCTACGCACTACACATGGACCACTTCAGTGTGAAGATATATCTATGCGCAAATAGGCTTGTAGCCTACAACATGCATTCACATACCACAATCTTTTCCGGTGTAAGCAATCCATGCTAAAGCTGAAAGACTGTCCCCGGCACTTTTCAAGTGGTTGAAAAAATCAGATCGCCTTCCTTCAGTCATAGCATTAACCTTCAAGATCACTTCATTCAGTGGTTTGAGAAATTCAACCAAGCCCGCCATATCAGGTTTCTGTACCGACAGGGCGGAAGACATCAAAATTTCCATGAAAACAACAGTAACCACTAAAATTTTACATGATGGTTAAAATATGCACGCAAACCACCAAATGCTAATTTATTCTAGGATAAACAGCTTATGAACTCTATCACTTAAATGCTTCTCTGCTAATATTATTTGTTAAAAAATGGCTAAAAATGTTAATTCTCAATAACTCCATGCTTTCTTAGGTCGTGAAACAATCATAGTCAAATCTCAACAGGAAAGGAACAATCTCTGACTGAAGTCAAAGTTATGAGATATATCCAATCGTCAAGATATCTTCTTATTGTATTTGTACCTAAATCTAAATCATCTTCTACAAAATCAACACAAGGACCAAATTTAAGCTATAAATGCATTACACGTAAATCTAACCTAAGCGCATTGCACATAATTCATCACGAAATAAAATACAAATAAAAGAGCAAATAACAAAAAGATCAACCAAACAAAACAGACACTTCAAAACTTAATTAAATAGAATGAAAAAGAGAGAGAAAAAACATTGCTTGATCTCGATAAGACGATTCTTTTGCACAGAGAAAGCTTCGAGAACTAGCTTAGTCACATCCAGCACTTGACCTCCAATCTTCTCCGCATCAGCCGAAACTCTAGCCGCATATTCAGCCATCAGATCGTCAAACGCCATAATCGATGGATCCGAAAACACTTCAACTCCGCTCTCCGGTAATCCGCTCTCCAATATTCCACGGGCCGATAGAGCCTCCAGCTGAGCCACCGCGGCCTCCAGTCTCTCTATCAGCTTCGCGTCCATACTGAAGAAAAAAATGTTCGAACAGATTTCAAAATTTTCCCAGAGATTTCTTAACTTCGTCTGTAGAGCAGATATAGAGGTTTGAAATAATTTTGTAACTACTTTTTTCTCTACTTTAGTCGCCGAAAGGTGGGAGATCGAGAGAGAGAGAGTGAACGAATATTTTTTGAGGTTTTATTGTTCTTGTTTTTTTATTTGCAAGAGATTGAATATTCAGAGGACACGTGCCGGATACGTGGATAGAAATAGAAACGTATGGACTTAATGGCAATGTCATTAACTTGTTAATCAAAGAATTTAGCTGTTTCCTAACAAAACGGTTCATTTTAGGTCTCGTCAATAATTTTGCTTTGGTTTTTGATTGACTTGATTTGGGCTTAGTATGCTGAAAAATTCTATAATTAATGTCATATACTGTAACGTATTACTAAAATAACGTGTCGTAATGTATCATAAATAAATTTGTTTTTATTATATAAATATTTAAAAAATAAATTAATTATAATTTTAACCTATATAACTTAAAAATCTTAATTCTAACTAAATTAAATTATTTAAATTAATTATTATTTTTAATAAATCCTTATAATTATAATTTTAATAAAATTATAATTTTAATATTTACGTAATAAGGGTTTATTTAAAATTATCATTTAAATTAAAACAAAAGTAGGTGGGGTAATGTAATTTAGCCATATCTTTTAAAACAAAAACATACTATTAGTTTAAATATAAACTGGAGAAGCTATTGCGGGGTTTTATGCAATTTAACCATTCTAAATAAAACATAAATAAGGGGGTTGGAATGGAATTTAATCATTAAAAAACAATGAAAAAGATTACCAGAGAATTAAGTGCGATGGACTTACACGCAGCGGCGGTTGCGGTCGAACAAAAACTGATAGGATAGATGACAATTGAGGATGATTCTTTGAAGGTCAATTTGAGTAAAAAAAGGAAAAACAAACAGACGGCGGCCAACGCAAAGGCAAAGCTTCTCATTCGAGACAACTAACTGTTAAGCGACAACGAATTAGGCGACGACAAACGAAAGCGTTGGATGTTGTAGTAGTAAATTTTTCGGCTAGTTAAGGTGATTGCTAACAGTGACTAATGTTGATGACTAGTTTTAACTTATATAACTTAACAATCCTAATTCTAAACAAATTAAATTACTTAAATTAATTATCATTTTTAATAAAAAATATAATTTAATTATAATTCTATTAAAATTATGATTAAATTTAATAAATAATTAA